GCTGTCACGGAAACCACATCGAATCAACGTTAGATCTCTATCGCTACCTGAGAGAAGCAACATGAGATACCGTCAACATTTAGATAAGTGATCGGTTCCCCAGCGAATTATTGGCATAATGTCTTAGATCGAATTGGTTATCACACATTGAAAGGTACAACCTCGTTGATCACAAGTTTCTGTTGCCATCCATAGGAAGACTATACCTGGCTATACCGTTAAAAAATCCCCCCATAGATTTGAATGACTATATATCTGACCCGCACAACTTCGTAGTCCTGCCACATAATCTCATGTCACTTAAATGAAATGAATAAATACACTTTTGTCTAAATACCACTGGGAAATTTTATTTATACGAGTTTTATACGAGTTTCATACTTGATAATGGAATCAAACCCGAAACCGGTCGTATAAATGAAATTTTCCAGTGGTATTTAGACAAAAGCATTTTTATCCATTTTATTCAAGTGATCATGAATTACCATAAAGTAAACAAGTCATCAATCACACATATAATCTCTATTCAATTCAAGAGATCAACCAAACTTTGCAAACCTGTGTTGACAAGTGAGGCAAGAATCAAGTTTTGTAACATTGGTGCGTCTCGGAAGCAAACCTGAAAAGCATTGCGCTGATTATTCGTTTATTTGATTTTTCTCCTTAATTCGTTATTTATAAAGAAAAATAGTTCGAAATAAAATCTCTAAACATTCATTTTTCCCAAAGTACGTATACCTGGTAAATGCATGTCAAAAAACAAATACTGAGCATTGAATTATATACGACGGATATTTATGCAAGATACCTCAAAAAGTAAGTCTTGTAAATGTGTTTCTTCCACACATCTGTTTGCGTCAGACCTTTCCTGCAGTTATGAGGGGTAATACTCCGGAACCGGTCTGTAGGTGATCTACTCGACTGATTTCAGCATGGCCCTACTGGTGGATGAACGAGAAACATCTGTAAGACAAACCTCTGTGAGGTAAGTAGATACACAAAGAGAGTTCTGTGGCACATTTCCTGGGGGAACGTATCGCGAGAACGCTTTCAATATCGGTGTGTTATCATGTGTATGGCTCGAGAATCGGCGGCGTTGTTGGTTGTAGAATTGGAAAGGCGTATTACCACGTTCTCGGTTTGAAGAAAAATCATGCATTACTAAAGTAAAAAAGCATGGAATATACAGGGTGTATGCACCGTTGAGAAACAAACATAGCTGCCCGAGGTGAAAAGGAACATCGCGGTGGGTATTGAGTGAAATATACAGGGTGTGTGCAGCGTTAAAAAATAAAACATGGTTGCCAACGTAAAAGAAAAAAATGACTGCTAACGTAAAATTGAAAAACATGGCATCAATGTGTGGCAAAAAAAATCATTTTGGAAAAAACATGACAGTTCAACGCAGCTCTAACGTTTCAACGTGCGATCCCTCAATGAGTACCGGGTATTTCAGAAACACAACATTCAAGGAAAAAACATGTTGGTTTAACGGAAGTGTGTACAAGGCATCTCAAATTACATCATTTAAGAAAAAACATCATAACATTGTGTCGATATGTACAAGGTGTGGCAACCCAACCAGCAAAATCTTGTTATCCTCATGTCACTCTCAGACCATGCAAAAAGTAAATAAAAAAGCCTTGGATAACCAAAGGAATCAGAACCTCTTCAAGTAATATGAGGGCCCTACACATGATTAGGAAATACACTAAAACTGATTTCTTCCACAGCCATTTCAATAAGTACCGGAAAATTTATAGAAGAATTATTAGATGTGCTAAAAAAAATATTATACTGAGAGACTTTCCAAGGCGTCCAATAAACCTAAAGAGAACTGGGCTATTTTCAATGATCTGAGAGGCAAAACAAACAAGCTTCCAGTGCAACCAGATAGCCTCAATGTGTATTATTGTGCAATAGCTGATCGGGATAGGTTTAATTGCCCTTTCTCGAACACGGGGGAGTTATAATCAACTTCGATATTAGTGGACTGGATTCCTTGTAGGTTGCTGGCTTTGAATAAATTGACGCTGAATCAGTTCGTTAACTAAATATATTTACAATCCTTAGCAGCTACCATCTCACAAAATCGTAGGACATACAAGTAACATTGGGCGTTGGCAAAATGCTTCTCATAAGATAGTCTGTGTTTAAATTACTTACAAAACGTTTCCTTCTTCAAGACACACTATGCACAATGTACCACTAATATATGCAAATTCACCTTCCTTTACTTATTAACTTGGAAAAAATACAAACGCCGAAATTATTCGAGCGTCGTGGATAAATTGAAAAATGAAGAGACTAAATCTCAGTAGGAGAAAGAAAAGTCAGTTAGGTTTCACTACCTCGGAGGACAATCTCGGAATGCGTTGTACCTCTCTCGGTTCTTTTTGGGAATTTTTAATCGCCACATGTCGACCGATAAGGGAAAGGGGCGATGTTTCTGGAATTCTGGGAATTCGTTGAAGGAACCTAAAGGTTTACAGATGTAGGAGTTGGAAAGCAATAAATGAATTGACAGAGCGCGTTCAGGGATGGATTAAGCACAATTTAAGTTGGAACTGAATAACTAATAAAGGATCAGAAGAAGCTTGTTGGAAACTGTGTTTCCAACATATTCCCGCCCCGTTGAAATCTCAGATATTTCAACAAGTCAAAGTGAGGAAATGCCATTAAAACACAACCGCGAAATCAAACGAAAAAAAAATGAACCTAATGACGCCAAGTAACTAACGCAGAGAACGCGTTACACTGGCTGAGTTGCACCAGGCAAGGGCAGACCTTACTGATAGGCCTGACGAAGACACCTTCTTGGGAGCGAAGTTTCACGGCACGGACCCTCTGGTCAGAGCCAGGAATGATTTCCACAATTCGGGCCAATGGCCACTTCAGTGGTGGGACATTATCTTCCTTTAATAAAACTAACTCATTAATTTCTAAATTTTTGGAAGGAGACAGCCATTTTGGCCGATTTTGCAACCGGTTGAGGTATTCGACAGTCCATCTTTTCCAAAAAAACTGTTGTATCTGGGAACACCTCTGCCAGAATGTCAGTCTATTTTCGGGTAAGTGGGTAGTATCTAATTCAGGATAAGAGGTTAAGCTACGACCTATTAAGAAGTGGCCAGGAGTCAGGACTCCTAAATCCCGCGGATCACTCGAAATGGGACATAAGGGTCTAGAATTTAGGATGGCTTCAATTTGAGCCAGTACAGTACTGAACTCTTCGAAGGTGAACTGAGAATTTCCAATAATGCGATAAAGGTGCTGCTTGGCTCCCTTCACTGCAGCTTCCCACAGACCTCCCCAATGAGGACTGCGAGGCGGTATGAATTTCCATTCAAACCCAGTTTCGGATGCGAAAACCTTCAAGGATTCGGACAGTTGGGACTTGGCGAAAAATTCGCGCAATTCTCGAAGGTGATTTCTTGCACCTACGTAGTTTGTAGCGTTGTCGCTGTGGATTACAGCAGGAATTCCTCTACGGGATATGAAACGTTTTAGGGTTAAGAGAAACGCTTCGCTGGACAAGGAGGAGACTAACTCCAAATGCACAGCCTTGGTAGCCATACACACGAAGACAGCCATGTAACATTTAATAGTCGGTGCCTTTCTGAGGCGCGAGGACTTTATTAAGAAAGGACCACCGTAGTCTACTCCTACCTTCTCAAAAGGTCTAGAAAGAGTGACACGATCAGGAGGTAAATCGGACATAATCTGTTGAGCCGCTACGGCTCGGAAACGTAAACAATTCATGCATTCATGAATTACTCTTTTTACTTCCCTGATTCCATTCAGAGGCCAATATTGTAAACGAACATTAGCAAGGACAGTTTGGGCACCAGCGTGACCCAACCGGATATGCTCCCTTTTGAGTAGGAGGGACACTACATAATTTTTTGCAGGGAGAAGTATGGGGTGTTTTTGGGGTTCAGGGACGTCTGCGTGACGCAAACGCCCTCCGACGCAAATGAGACCTTGCTCATTCAGGAAGGGATTGAGAGCTAATATACTTTTGTCAGAAATTGATTTCGAGGATTTTAACGCGGAAATTTCTTTAGAAAAATATTGGGACTGTAAATTGCGAAGGACCAGCACTAAGGCAGAATTTATCTCAAATATGGATAAAGGACCGGACAACTTGGTCTCCTTATTTTTAGAATTGGATAAAAAACGTGAAACATATGCTACTGAGTGTAGTAATTTGTTAAAGGAAGAGAATCTCTGGAATATTTCATTCCAAAATTCGTCTTTAACTTGAGTGCTTGTCACTAGCACTTGCAGCTTGTTTGTCTTCTGCTCAGGTATAGCACTTGGAGGGGGTTTCAAGATAAATTTAGACAATTCCAAATTTATTTCGGAGAGGAAATCAGGACCGTGCCACCACAATTCTGAATTCAGGAGATCAAGAGCTAATACTCCCCTAGAAAGTAAGTCAGCGGGATTTTTAGAAGAACGAACGTGTCTCCATTGAGCTTGTGGCAGGGAAGTTTGAATTTGGGACACTCGGTTGGCCACGAAGGTGTGCCAACGGGATGGATGGGACTGAATCCAGTGCAGAGCTATCTGCGAATCAGTCCACAAATTTACAGATTCGAAAACTAAGTTTTCGACAAAGATTTGGATAACCTTTTTTGCTAGTTTGGTGAGCAATACCATCGCACACAATTCCAGACGAGGAATTGAAACAGTTTTCAGCGGTGCTACTCTGGATTTGGAAGTGACTAAGAGAGATGTGACGGTATCATCGGAATAAGTGGTTCTGAAGTACAAACAGGCACCGTAAGCACGTTCGCTGCTGTCAGCGAACCCGTGGATTTGGATTTGTTCAATGGACTTTGAGGAAAACAAACATCGAGGAATTTTAAGAAATTTTAGGGATTCAATTGAATTGATGAATCCCTTCCATTCTTGGAACAATTCAACAGGAAGCGGTTCGTCCCAGGAGATTTTTGCTAACCAAAGTTTTTGCAGGAAAATTTTAGCAAGAACTATGAACGGGCCCAGAAAGCCTACCGGGTCAAACATTTGAGCAGTGATTGATAACGCCTTGCGCTTAGACGGAGTATCATTACAATAAATTTTCGGTAGAGAAACTGCTAAGTTGTCAGAACAGGGATTCCAAGATAAACCTAACACCTTGCTAGGGTTGTCTTCCATTTTTATTTCGTATTGGATTGGATCAGGATCTTCACAATATTTTTCTCTGAACTGTGAAGAATTGGATGACCACTTGTGCAGTTTGAAACCTGCAGAATTCAACAAACTATTGAGTTGATGATAAGAATCTTCTAACTCGGAAAGGGAATCGGTGCCATGGAGCACATCGTCCACGTACGTCTGTTTCAATAATGCCCGTTTGGCTAACGGGAAACCTTTACAATTGGAAGCGAGCTCCTTCAAAACTCTAGTTGCTAAAAAGGAGGAGGAAGTGACTCCATAAGTCACGGTGGAAAGTTGAATGCATTTTAGCTCTTCTTGGGGGGAGTTTCTCCACAGGATGTTCTGGAGATGTCTTTGCGATGGATTCATTTTAATCTGGCGATACATTTTCTCGATGTCGCAGGTCAGGACATAAGAATGCTGACGGAAACGTCAAAATATATCATACAAGTCTGGCTGTACTTGATAACCCTTGTGTAGATCATTCAAAGAAAATCCAGTAGAAGTTTTAGTGGAGCTATCGAAAACTACTCTGAGTTTCGTGGTTTCACTGGACTCCTTGATAACGCAGTGATGCGGAAGGTAATATTTTATCTCAGCGGATTTGTCGGTGGGATTGAATGGAACATATGTGGCATGTTTCAATGACACATTTTCATCAATGAAATTTTTATAAGCGGAAAATAATTCTTGATTATTTTGGAACGTGAATCGCTATTATTTTGCTAATTTTTTTATTTCGCCGTGTGTGCTCTAGACTCTGTGTCATCTTCGAATGTTTGGTAACTCATTTTAACTTCCCGTTTTGTTGTACAATCCAGTGAAGCTGAAGAAAGAACACTCCAAGAAAGGGCCCTTTCAGAAGCAGGGATTTGTGCTAGGAATTCGGTGAGTTCGCTTTATGCCACATTTCTTTCCACTCTTGTTTTCATTTTTATTATTTTTCAAGTATTCGAAGACGCGACAGATAGACTTGTCCTGATTCACTTTAACTTTTGTGACGTTCTGTATGGACCATGCTTGGATCATAACGATATTAATCGTATAGAAAAAATTCAGAAATCAGGTCTCAGATTGATCTACGGTATTCGCAAATATGATCCAATATCTGTTAAAAATGCAAGATCGTCGAAAACTTCATTTTCTCATTTTAACTCATGCAGTAATCAATAAACAGTGTCCCCTATATCTTTACAATAAAATAAAATATTGGACAGTTATTCATAACCTTAATTCACGTCATAGGGATCATATCTCGCTTCCACCTTACAAAACTTCTCTGTTCCGAAGAAGCTTTACCTACAATGTCTTCAAACTTTATAATGAGATCTTACGCTTTATAAGAATTCTAAAAATTATACACTTTAATACAAAAACCTCGTCGATTCATTAATTCAATAAGTGCATTCAGCTTTCCAAATCTATTTATTATTATTATATTCTTAACATTTCGAAATGTTTTTTAGTACGCGACTTGTGTGTGGTTCAATACACCGCACTATTCAGTTCTTCTTTGGTGGGCACTAGGGTACTGTACACCTTTTCTTTTGAAACACTACAATGGAAAATGTCAAGTGGCGTGAGATCTAGTAATCTCGGTGGCTAATTCCACGGCCCTAAACGCCTAAACCAACGATCGTCAAACATTTCGTAGTTGCCTGGAAACTTTCTGGGTGAAATGAGCTAGCGTTCCGTCCAATTGAAATCACATATTCCTATATTTCTCTAAAGGCAAATTTCGAAAAATCGTTTGCAGTCGTCCCTAATATTAGGAGATTTCTCTCTGCATTTAGTGAGTCTCCATAAATGAAGAAGCCAATTTTATTGTTCTTCAAAACATTCAGGTAATTGTTTTCTTAAAAACCCATTTCTTTTGTCACATGAGGATTATGATCAATCCAGGAATGTTTATTTATTCCATTAAAAACACTGTCGATTACTATTCGTAAATTGCTTTTAGAAGTAATCAAAGTGTTATGAGCTTGATAATTCCACTGCTACCTAAAACCAAATTCTTAAAAAAATAATGTTTGCAAAAAAGTGATTTCATTAAGAAAATTTTATATGATTCAGGTATAGATATGATATATCATCTTGAAGCATTTTTCATCATCTTTCAATTTATTAAGTAATTTTCATTTGAAAAAATGAACTTTTGATCACTCTTATGCATAATGGAAATAATAGTAATTTTAGCAAGGCTCTAGTAGATCCTTGATGACAGCACGACCAGCTGTCGAAAGATCCCCATAAGGATTATTTTCACAACGTTTCGGCAAAGTCTCATTTGCCATCTTCTGGTGATGTCTGGTTTTTTCAACTAGACTAGACAGTCTAATCTAGTTGAAAAAACCAGACATCGGTCGATATGCCTTTTTCGTATTAATTCACCTTCGGTTTGGATCAAGAAAGTTTTTCTGGTAAATATAATTTTTCCTGGACACCATTTTTCAACATTTGCACGGTAGTCCGTGGCATATACCCAATCGTTTTCACAAAATTTTGAATTTTTTTGTTTTTCGTAATATTTTCGTTGATAATTTTGCTTGGATTCCACCACCCTTTCCGTGGAAGGCAACAAAAGATCACATTTGGTTCTAAAATTTCAAGGTAATTTTCATGGTTTTTCACTAGTAGTTGAATGTGGTGTGTTTCTGTTTTGAAATAAAAATCTATGAATTATGAGATGTGTATCTAAAGATGGATTTTCAATTTTACTCTTTATATTGGTATTTTTCAGTAATTCAACTGCATTTTCGGCCTGCCCGTTTGAACGTAGATAATACGGTGCTCCCATGAGATGTTTAATGCCGCTTTGCTTCAAAAAATTCTGAAATTCGCCACCTGGAAATGTTTTTGCATTATCCGTTCATATCTCTAAAGGTGAACCAAATCTCGAAAATAACTTTCTGAAAATTTTATTGTGGCTGGAGTTTGGACATATTGGACATTCCGAAACATTTTATCCATTTGGATGAGGCGTCTTCAATGACCAAAAACCATTTAATGTAGCACGGTCCGAAGAAATCAGCATGCAGTCGAGTCCATGGAGAGCTAGGCCATTTCCAGACTGACAAAGATGACCTTGTTGAGTTCGAAGAAATTGCACAGCAAAACTCTACAACAACTTGCTATACTTTCGATTTGACTATTGATTGAAGCGGGGATGATTCTGCAACCGTGCTAGGAATCACACGTTAAAAGGTAAGACCTCGTAAGTCCTTAGCTCGCACAAGTTTCTCAACGTATGAGAGTTGTCGTTCGTATGGGGGCGACAGCTGATTAACGGAAAACAGATTTTAAACAGATTTTAAACAAATTTAAACAGATTGAAGGCCACCATACATAAGCTCATGCGAACTGTTTCATTTTTACCATACCCATGTGGGCGATATGCAATTCATCCAAGATAGAATTCCAGAATTTTTTTGGTATTATTATTTTATAACCCCACATGAGACAATCTTGTTCAATTGTGATTTCATTTTTTTGTGTGAAAAATGGTCTGAAAATATCAGATGGACATTTCTTAGGCCATCCATATTGCACATAAAAAAATATTTTACTGAGAATGGGGTCTACTGCGACTTCTTTTCTAATCCGTTTAACATTCAACTTTTCAATTTGAAATCAATTGTATTCGATTCTGAATCTGATATTGGTGAGCGCGATAAAAAATCGGATTAATTTTCATCTGAATTAACAAATTTGATATCGAAATCAAATGCCGATGAAGTGTAGGCCCGCTGTTGAAGCCAATTTGCAGCAAACATGGAAATCCCGTTTATTTCCAAAAATAGCCAACAATGGCTTATGATCGGTTACTAATATGAATCTTTGGCAAAATAAATATTGATACACAGTAAATAGGCTATAGGCATTCTAATAAATACAACGATTTTATCGCATCCAGATCAAATACATGTAGTGTATGTCTTAAGGCTTCATTACAAATATTGTTCATATGATTGTTGAAGTTCAGATCCTTGTCAAACACAATACCCAGGTCAAAAGATTATCTACAACTTGTAACATAGAGTCATCAATGTAAAATTTCCGCTCAAAAGTGTTATATGATTTAGAAAACTCATTTCACAAGTTGAAAATTGTCTACGTCAGTCTGAATCATTTAACAATCCTCCGTGGAGGTAACTTCCCTTAAACAATTTAGATCGTCAGCATAGAGGGAGGCTTTGGAATTTTCAAAGACGTCAGTTACATCATTGATGGATTATAAAAATAATATTGGGCCAATGTGTGATCCTTGAGGGACACCTGAGGATACTCTAATTGAATTGGATATACACAAAAAAAATTGGAAAACACCCAGGTTAGTAGTAGGAGAACGCTCTTTATAGAAAACATGTTGCTCTTCAGAAATGATATAATAATAGAGAGACGACAGAGAATTAGATACTTTACTGCCACCCCTCAGAAAAACATGATCCTGGTGATTTCAGGAACAAACTTCGTACGGATGAAGCAACTTTCAGGCAATTATTGGATCTGTGTGAAAGCTATCTAACCAGATTTTTTTGGCAGTGGTTTGCAGGTTTTCATGCTTGATGTTTCGTCTACAAATGCTGTATACATTATTGAAGGCAATGTGGTAACGATGGAGGTGTCCGATTTGGTGCTCAAGTTGTTGTTCCCGTTGTTCCGAACTTATCAACTACGATGTTGGTGTTTTACTCTGGTTTTATCTCATTATCAGTGGGCGTGGCTTGGTTTATCTCAGTTGGATTACCTGTCATTGTTTGTGTACCTTTAAGGAAAGGTAGCCAGATTTTATTGATGCTCATTGCCTCTTCTTTTCTAGTGAAGTAATCCTTGTGTTTTTGAATCTCTATTGCCTCTCTAAATACTCTTGGATAGTAATTTTGAGTTTTGTCCAGTATTACTCTATCTTCAAATAATATAATGTTCAGCTACAGCTGATTTATCGGTTTGTCCTAGTCGACAATTTCTCTTGTGCTCAGAGAGACGGGTTAGGTTAGGTCCAAAGTGAGTGAGTCTATTCGACCCTCCACGGCAACCCGCAAGGGTTTATTTCGGCTCACACCTATTCACATTTAACCAAATGATTCCAGCTTCCTAAGGAAGCCGATTAGTTTGTGTCATATATTGGTTTGCTCATTTATCTTTACGTATAAAAACAGTATCCTTTTTTGTACCTTTTCGGTCGACCTGCGTTAAGCAGGACACATGGGCAGTTGAGAATTGGAGTGCGACATTAAACAGTTTAAGTAAC